AAACGAACACGAGTAAAACATGAAGTACCACCAGTTTATTTTATTTAGTACTGAATCTCCTATACAAAACGAGAACATTTTATAAAGTGAAAATAGCAAATTTTGCGTAACGATGCATTTCGAAAATTGACCTTTGAAACCCTCTTCGAGAACATTAGTGAAATCGTTGACAAAATATTTACGCATTTCCCTTTTGATCCTTGCAACTACGTAAATTTTGATTCTGAAAACTTTTTCAACTCAGGGGATCTTTTTGCGAAACAATAATGTCCATTTTCTTCTACAGTAGCGTCAGATCCGCTATACTAAGTGAATCATTATCAAAAACTGTTTTTTATCCTTGCAGAGGATTCGGGCTCACAAGCTGAATCATCGCCATACTAAAAAATCTGCATCATCAAACAATTTTTTGGACTCGATTCAGCTGACGAGGGCTGTAATTCTTCACTTGGGAGTAATCTTTCTAGAAACTCTCTTAAGCTGAACCTTAGGAACTTAGACAGAATTTAGAAAAGGGACATGTGAGCGTGGGTCATGGAAAGTGTCTCGTACAAAAACCCTATTGAATGTTAGCATAGTTTGGAGCCAAACTGTGAGCTACATCTCGTCTAGATATTTCACTTTTTCTTTGTGAGTACCCTCGCCCAAAACTCCGTTTTAGTGGTATGAGGAATTAGAACCGATTTGGACAATTCCTTTAAAATCAATAATCGCCTATTTAAAGAAATATTATACTGACTTCTACTACTATAAGCGGTATATAAAATTTATTAACTAAATTGACCACGTAGAGTAATACTACATTATAACTAAATTTCAAAATAGCTTAAAACTGTAGTGAATTTTCCTCGTTGCTACTGTAGGTTTTAGAATGTTTCGCAATTCAAAGCTTGATAGCCCCTAGCAATGAAATTGAAATCACCAAATTTACATGTGTGTTGTATAAATAACCATAAAATGAAAATCAACCTTTTAGAAAAAATGAGCAGTATATTTTATACAGTAAACGACAGGTTCCTTTCATCTTGTCAAGCTATCCGCAGAATAACAGTTACGAATAACCCGAATTTTCATCGGAGGGAAATATTTCAGATTCTTTTACCCCTTTGCTTCGTATTGCTGATTAAAGATAAAATACACCCTTTTTACAAAATTGCTTGTTAGAGTTTAATTGAAATACAAACGTCAACTAAATACATTGACAGTGCATAACCTCAAGAATCTAAAGAACGATTATAACGAATGAATTAAGTAGTTGAAATAAAAAACAAATCCAGGGATTAAGAAACCGAATTGAGGGATGCGTATCCAATAGGAAAAGGAAAAGAAGGCAAACACAAACCTCGTTCAATCTGCATAGAATTTTCTACTTTTGCAAAAAAAGACGGAAGCAAAGGAAGCACAAGTGACCTCACAGTTGAAGAGGGGGAAATTTCTGTTACATTTATTTTGGAAGCGAATGAACCCAAATATTGTGGCATCTAAAAACAATGTGCATTGTATAAATGAAAGGGTTTAAATGGATACCTTCTAAGGGAGCGGATTACACTATTTCTCCTGCTATTCACTAAATGACCAAGCAATTCATTTCAAAAATTATTTGGGAGACGCTTATACGACGTTTATACGATACTATATACTAATAAGTGGAAAGCAAAATGCACGATGTTTTTTTGATGTGTTTAATAGGCCAAACCTTATGAGGTTATGCGTTATGAGAAAGAAAAAAGTATAAATGTGTGTTTTGCTGCCTTTGTTGATAAGTCAAAAAAATAATAAAAATGATTCCACAAAAAAATTGTTGATGAATATCTACCTTCTTTTATTTTCTAATTTTTGGTTCAATGCATGAATATTTAATAGCAGCATCAGCATATCATGTTAACTACTGTCTAGTAGTTTTTGCACTACTTATAATTTGTACATAGGGGTAGGAAAGTAATCGTCCTTTTTCGTCTCATTCAATAACACAAGTTCATAAGAATCTGACATGAAAACTCTCTCTGGGTTGCACTTCGATTAAACACATATTTAATTAATTGATAAAGACAACATTTTATGCAAAACATAAAAGAAAAATAATACAACAATGCTGAAAGAAAGGAAACTACTTGGAGCTTGTTTTTACACACGCAGGCGTTCAACAGACAATTAAATAAAGAAATCCTCGATGACAACTGGTCGTCAAAATTTTGCGATATTCACGACTGATACAAACACGCCTTGACAGCTGAATTTCACTTCTTTTTTTTAAACTGATGACAAAAGTTGGTGGCTTTTCGGAGGGTAGACACTTTTACTTTAAATAAATGACAAACCTGGTCAAAAGGCTTCATTATGCAGCAACTGTTTTTTCCAAAAATGGACAAATGACGTTAACTTCTCACTTTAAAACATAGTAACTTCAATTTCTCAATACGATTTCTTAACTTCTTCTGCAAACTTTGTTATGATCACGACGACTTAAATCTCCGCCCAAATAAAAACCAAATAAATTGAAATAATTTCACATACAGGGTGGCCCAACATTATGGAAGGTGCTGAAGCCAAAATAACGTCTACATGACGTAGTTTACACAACAATATTTCTTGTCACAAATATCGATATACCTGTACGTTTAACTAGGAGAATTCTATCAGTTTCATTGATCTGGCTGCTACTTTGAGACACGATAGGTCAGTCCACAACAAATACTACTTCAAGTAAAGAGTTAGCACCGTATTACAAGTACGACGAAAATATTTATAAGAGATTTTTACTAATGCTCAATATTTGTACAGAAAAAAGAATAAGTTCGAAAATATAATCCTTTAACACACCCTCATTAAATAATCTTTTTTATTCAAATTTATTGATTCATATGGAATAACTCTATGGCATATAGGTTGACGATCATAAAAAGTCTGTCCCAAATATTACAAAACTAGCTTTAGTCGAAAAACGGCAACTTTCTCCTTCAAAATGTATGATTGAGTTGAAAAAGTTTTCCACTGAACTGATATGCTTTTCCATTATTCCCTACAAAATATATTTGACTTTAGCACTCTTGTGTAAAAAACGACTAGTTTTAAAATATGCGATTCGCATCTTCAATTAAAAAAAATAGATCAAATCTATGTAACAATGAAGCCATAATTGTGTAAAGCAACCTTCTTGCATTGCAGGATGTTGCACCTATAACACTGTAATCGTCTAGATGAATGACCACACCACGCAGATGCTGCTGGGAAAATCTACTTTCGTTGCAGACATCCGGACTAAACTCATTTCTCTTTCGTAGTAATGATAACGTTCCTGCAATAACCCACCTTTAACGTCCGTTAGTGAAGAAATCACACATTATGTATATGAAACAATGCACTTAGCAAACAATTAGTGGTCGGGTCTAAAGTGACTAATGAAACACAATATTATTGCAACTGTGGAAAATGAAATCGTTAAAAGGAATTCATTGTCGTGACTGCGCAATATTGGTCGACACGCATTACAGAATTGCAATAAATGTGTAATGATTGCCACCAGTTACACACTGCATATGATGATTCTCACAAAGGAAGTCACACGTTCATGTTACGAGAAAACCTTGCCGATTTTAGCTTTATAAGTAATTGGTACAGATACGTCTTTTGTAACGTAAGAATCAGTTAACTAAAATAAAATTTCACTAATCAGTAAATGTCACCCTAATTTTTTGTGGGGATTATGAAGACACGTTCGCGAACAAAAATCTTCGACTGATTAACACTCCGCCCACCAAAAAGTAATAAAATAAAAAACACAATAAATGTCTTTTTAGTTCCACTGCGGAAAGACGTTCGTTGGGACTTTGGACACTCTTTAAAGGACCATTAAACAATTTTCGCATGCTTGACGGAAAATGCGTCAAGATCGCAGAGGGAAAATAAGTTTAGTCCTGTGTTAAAAAAAACTGAATGTCATGCACAATCCAAAACAAACCAATTTTCAATTATGTAGAAATATAAAAAAATTCACCGTAATAATCGTTGAAAATATAACATCCAAATTACATTGAATTCTGTAGAAGGTCTTCCTGTGGGAATTTGAACAATTTAGGGCACGTACCAGAAATTAATGACTTTTGGCATTGTATAACAAGCATAAAGCATGTAAGACTGTCAAAAACTTTTTTTTTAATGTTTGCTTTGAACTAGGAACCTGTTCTGTCGAGAATTTGGGAACTGGTGTCCCCATATTTTCTTCTGAGAACTACAACCCCCAGAAACCCAAAGGTTTCCGTTCTTTATTCGTCTTCTCTTACGGGTTTATCTACATTTTCGAGCCTAGAATTTCCAACAAATTTTCACAACATCGGAAAGCACATATTTGACCGAATTCGAATTATTACTTAAAACCAGGCTTAAAACGAAAGAACGTACTTTTTTTTATGACAATGAAAACCATTCCTGCTTCAGCTATAAGGAACCTGTACAGCAAATCTTGAAAATATTGACGGAATATTAGAAAAAAGTTGTTATGCACACGGCAGACAGGCCACTGTCCAAAACTATAAAGAGCGTGAATAAATTCATACATTCCACAAAAAATATAAATTTCATAATTAACGGGAAGAATTAAGAATGTGCAAATTAAAATTTATGTCTTAGGCATATCGAAGCGCTTGCCCAGTTTAAATTCTAGCATCTAAATTGAAAGAGATTTACATTATAAATGTTGGACAGTATTTCGACCTATGAATTTGAAATGACGACAAATCCGGTAGACATAATTTCAATATTTCGTCGTAAGCGTGTGATGTTAAGAAATATTTTAAACGATGATGGCATCATAAATCCACGTGATACTTCTCCGTTGACTACTTTCTTTAGGATATTGTCAATCCCATCATATACCCTACTTTCTCCGTTCATAGGTTGGGTATGATGCTAGCAGGTCCTCCAGTTCGAACGTCCCTCCTCTTTCAATATTTACCTAATTGGGAAGGGGACCTCTTCATTGTAAAATGTAATATCATCTATATAGTAAATATCTTCAAGAGGTAAAGATTATTTTCGGATGTTAATGCAACACGATCACATGTAGAAAATAAAGGTTGTAGTGAGAGGTGCCGTAGTTTAGTTTTTGTGATAAGTGTAATAATTGAATACAATTTTCTTAATTGGAACTATGTGGATACAACAGGTTGGTGCTCTACTTTATTGAAATGCACGTGTGAAATTTTTCTTATAATTGTTTGCCACTCTTACTAACAAAGGAATTGATCAGAATGGCCCATTTGTTAGTTTAAATTTATGCGTAAACTACTTCTAGCGCTATTATTTGTGTAGAAAACACAATTATAAGAAATCGGATGCCTTCAAAAGTACGGCTAACTGTATCAAATTAAGAACGTGAATAGCAGGGGTTGGAAAATTTAATTTAATAAATATGCGGGACTGTTGTTTACAGATGAGAACATTCAATGTACGTTGCCCATTATTCTAAACAATTGAGTATAATAAACTACTAATCAAGGCAATTAAAAATTTTGCATACATTTCATAATGAGAGTCTTAAATTACGAATTACCGAATTTGTTTTAAGCCGGTCTTCTTGCACTATTTCCCCAACGTAAGATATCATCACGATTAAACCAATTATCAAAGATTCTATTAGTAGAGCGTAATTAATTTTTGATATTATTTGCAGGTATTTTTTACTTCCTTCGTGTCTTTTCTAATTCTCCAAGACATCACAGCGGTAGTAAATAATGGTGGAAAAGTAGAAGAATCATCTCTCGCAAATGTGACCAATCAAAATGATAGTGCAAATGGTGATAGTTCGAACCTTGTGGACAGTTCACGTATATCGGATTCTATAGCCGAAAGCAGTGATCAGAACCGAAGGGAAGCACCTCACGTCCCAAACGATTCATACGGTGCCCCAATCCTAAGCAGTTCCTACGGAATTCCCTTACACTCTTATTCCCAACCACCCCCTAGCAATTTAGCTTTACCCGTTCCGGTATACGGTGCTCCAAATGTCATATCAAATGTCGTTTACCCAGCACCGCCCCCTGATATTCCACCACCAGCGATTTCTTCTTATTCGTACGGTGTATCTCAGCCTGCACCACTGAAATTTTTTCCACCGATAAAATTAAATTCAAACTTTTTGCGAACACACAAACCACCACCTAAACCTATTTATGGCCCTCCGCACTATACATTTCCAATAAAACCTCAGTATGGGCCCCCTATTAAACATTCCTTCAACTTTAATAAATTTAAACATTCAATCAAACCTCCTAGGCCAATATACGGCCCACCAAAATCTGTGTACATACCGAATAAGTACATGTTCATGTATGGAATTCCACAAGTGTATGGGCCACCGAAACCGCCAATCGGACCACCCAAAACGTTGTATGGACCACCGCCAAGCATTAAATATGGTCCTTTACCAGATCCGGTACCCCACGCGCCACCACCAGGTGTACCAGCTCCACCTACCCCACCAGACATAAAGTACGACGGATGGCAACCAATTCCCGGATTAGTGTCACGCCCACCTTCAGGATCATACGGATCTCCTGATGTGCAACAGGTAGATGGACAGCAGTACAATGTTGACCTCATTCCGCCACCATCTCAGTTATACTCAAATCCAACCGGTGTCAAAGATTCGTACAGCGCGCCCTTAAACACTGTCACAGGTTCAGGTGGAATCATAAGTTCTTCCGGTGAAGATCATGGAGGTGGAAGAACAGCAGATCCTAGTGAAAAAGATGTGTCAGTAATTAAAAGTATCGGATATGAGATCTTTGCGACTCCTGGAGTTGGAGGCCTTTCAAGTTACAGCACATCACCATTAACATACACGAGCGATTCTTACAGCGGCATTGAAAACTTTTCAAATTCGATATCTTCCGCATTTGAAACTACTTTAGGCGGGATAAATAGTATTGGCTTAATACCTCCGTCGGGTGTGTATGGAACACCCCCTAGTGGATCATACGGAACTCCACTCATTCAATCTCCTAATAATCATATCGCATTTCAAGATCACACGTCAACAATTGATTCTTCAAGCATTTCGATTGTTCAAAATGATGCGCACGCGAATATCGAAAACGGCTACCAACCACCTCCAAGTGAAGTGGAACCTGGTAAACCCTCAACACTGTACACGCTTCCATCTAAAAACCCATCGTCATTCCAGAACTACTTTCAAGGTTCTTCTAATGATGGTTTTAACGTAGACGTTAACTCGGCGTTTAACTATAACAACCTAGGCCCCGTACCTCTCACTAGCTACACAGCTCCTTTGGGTATAGTGGATGGTTCCTATGGCCTTCCCCATACACACATTCAAACACCTTTTGCTTCAAACCATGAATTGGACAGTTTTGCTGCTACGCAGAATCATGCAGTATCTGTCGTTGCACCGTATATACCATACCAAAGCACTGGACACGACTGCTCCCAGAAATCAGCGCCTTTGCCACCATTATCCTTTGGAGTGCCTGCAGCTAACTCATACAGCGCATCCCTTGCATCGCTTAATACCAACATAGCGGGAGCGCATCAAGGGTCTATTTCTGGAATCGGCTATGGCGTCCCTGACTTGCAAACAGCTTATTCGCAAAAAACTAACACCGTCAGTAACAGCAGCGAAGCTCAAATACAACAAGAAGGGCGCTCTCAATCAGATGGGCGGAGTAATGAAATACTACCAAGTATACCAGAAGGAAGTGAATTGATAAAGAGCCAAAGCGTCGATTTGAATAATATTCCACTAAGGGGAGCGTTGGGAAGCTACACCTTACAAATTCAATCAGCAGATGGCGGAGAATCACGAATTCCCCATAATCAAGTGCTAAATGATGGTTTATTGCAGTCCATACTAAACGCAATTGAACAACCCCAGGAAAATGCCGCTAACATACTTTCTCAACCACTGCTTCACCTTCAGCAAATACCTCCCAAGGTGCCACAGGACTTTACCTTTCAATCGAACGCAGCTCAGAATGCGATTACGAAAAATATCATCGTAACTCCTCCGCCTTTGCAAAGAAATAGATTGGAAGGGTTTATGCAACTGCAAAGTGGAAACCCAGCAATTGACAGTAACGAAGTGGCGGTGTATTTTAATAACAAGCAGTATGCAAATTCCGATGCAAATAACAGTCGTAAAGTTCCACAAGTAGTGGAGGACAACACTCTGGCGTATATGAGCAGAGGAAATTCTAGTTACACTTACGAAGATGTAAATCCAAGATCGTCAGAGATACGGGCGTAGTGCTTAAAGTGAATATAAACACTTCCTATCGTTTGTGCCGTACACGGATTGAAAGACTGTTGTGTTGTGAGTGAAACACAAATTTAATAGGACCTTAACCTCGGTTTAGTTTTAAAGTGTTAGAATAAGTAATTTATCTTTGTTAAGATTCTGAATATCTTTTGATTATACTTATGAAACAAACGCTTATTTATATATTAAATTTTGCCAGAGGAAATGAGGAATTGTAGTTCCAATATTCACTATCACAGGTGGTAGTAAGTTTTCTGCTTTCATGTGAAAGTTGGTCAAAGATTTACGTCTGTAAAGTTTATAGCTTTATTTCATTGGTCTTAAACGTAGACAATTAACTGCAGGTGTAGCGAGCACAGTCCGATCTAGTCCATATTTTAGTCACAATTTAAAAAATATGCGTTAAAGAAAATCTCTAATTTTAGGATTGACCTTTAAAATCTCTTCATTGCTCCTCTGACGAAAGTATTCTGGGTTAGTGTGCCACGACTGGTGAAGAACACATAAATATTAAAGTGGTTGTAATAAGCATCCATCAATGACTTACAAATATTAAATCTTAGCTCACATTTTGAGTCATTGCCGGGTAGGAGTAATCTGGACGAAGTACCCTTTTTGTGGAATTTTACTTTCATTTAATGGGTCACAATTACAATTTGGTGTCTCTTCCATTTTACCAAGAAGCATCTATTAGATTAGAGAAAATAGGAATACGCTCACCTGTTCGGTTCATTAAATCCATTGCATTTAAAACACAATTTTGTTACGTGTTAGTACCCACATGTAATGTGGTTGTAATGTGAATATAAGTAATTCGATTGTTTGTATTATTGATGTTTCGTATCGTCAGTTTCGAAAGTGAGTTGTAGTTCTTTCCTTGTTTATTCATTCTTGTTAGGTGTCTTGCATCATGGTTAATTATGGACAACTTTCTCTTTACTTGACCACTTGGATTTCTTAACACGCCGGGTGACCTAGAATGCCAATGTCAATGCCATCTTACAGGAAACGTTTTGTAGTAGGTAGGTAATTCAACGTTTTTCTATCCTATTACGTACGAAGTAAAGTAAAGGAATTAATTGTTCGTACGGAATCGGGTGCAAATGTTTTCGTTGTGCTAATTGAATATAAACAGTTTAAACACAGTTTCATGCTACATACAAAGTACAGGTCTCAAGTGGGATTCTGGCAAAATAGTTCGAATGCAAACAGGAAATGCGGAGAAATGGAATCGCAGCGGATTTTTGATACCTATATGATGGGCAATCTGGAGGCCTAGCACAGACGGTGGTGAAAGTACGAGAAATGTATTAATGTCCAAGTAGAACAAAATGTTTTTGGAACTTTTGGCACATAGACGTTACATGCAAAAGGTTTTTTATTAGGGCGCACCAAATACCGTCTTGGGAAAATAGAGATGAATGTGGCGTAGTTTTAACTATTTCACATAGGTACACTTGCAACCGAGGGGGGAGTTCGCTATTGGAATTAGGTGTACCCATTTTACCTATCGTATTACTCAGGACTATTAGATTACTAGTAGCACCATTCTAAATACTCGTTCTCAAATTATAGGGGGACAGCACCAATTAATAAATGTCACTCAAAAATCGAATACGTGGTACTTATTTTATTGAAATATTTAAATCTAACACTTGCAAAAGCTACAATAAATGAAAATTCATTCAAAACAAAAACATCTTTGATGTGAAGTCATTGTACTCATTTTAATAAGTAGGCAAATGGTGCCTGAATCGTCAAACTCGCGCTGGAATTTGTGTGATTTGTACAAGTGTAAATTCTTGGTGATGTTTTAGTTAAATTAAAACATTTCAGTATGCGGTATAGCCGGGAAGAATAGGAAAGATTTTTGATATGGTTTCTTCCAGGATCCGATCTTTTTACACAACTAATTGTTACGCCCCATACACCAAAGGCGGAAGCGCCGAAGGGCCAGTGTAGGTATTCATTGAAAACAGTGGAATGTTAATAGTATTGTCAAAATTTCACCTTGTTTCTTAAAATAAAATGTAAGATTGCCAAGAAATGTGATAATAATTCAACCCCAAGGGAAAATTAATTTTTCTTTAAATTTTCATATAACGTGACCTACCTATATGAATGGTGGGATAATTGACAGTCATGTCAGTGGGGGAGGCAACGTAAGGCGATTGTAGTGGTCAATGTTTCAACTGAAAATAATAAAATATCGAAAAATCAATTCCGCCTGTTAGCGAAAATTAAAAATTCACCGTTGTAACGCCATTTTTATATGTATAAAAAGAAACCCGACGAGTAAAATAAGACACAGAAAAAACAGCTTCGATTAAAAGGACGCATCAGTTCATCTAATTATTTGTCACTTATCTACATATAGCTAGATAGCCATAAAATTGAAGCGAATCTTTCATAAATAAAAATATTGCACCCCATTGTAAATATAGAAAGCCCCAGTATTTATAAACGGATCTACTTAGTGATTCTAGTCTTTCTTTGGTGCTACCCCTTATATTTAGTTTCCCTTCTTCATGAACAAACTCACTCAACTCTAGTCCACATCATACGTGCGCTGAGAAATAAATATTCATCTTTGGGCGCTTTATATCAAATATAATGTTTTTATATTTCACCTCCCCTCAAAAATTTATTATATTTTTCAAGTTATGATAGTGAAGAACCTGGAAAAAGGCATAAAAGCCAACTAAACGCTTCTCAAAAGTTTTATTACAACCGTGTACAAACAATGGCAGAAAGTTTAGACGAGGGAAGTAAGAATAAATGAAAAGTTCATTAATATCATTTTAGACACCAAGTTTTGCTAGAAAGGCTATAAAATGAATACTATTTGTCACGGTCGTATCTCAAAGAGAATTTCTGAATAGGTACCTTCATTTTCTTATACTAAAACTTCAAGATATAATTACCCAATCAGAACTCACTAACAATTTATAAACCACTGAGAAATCAGCTGTTACATGATTAGTTGAGTATTATAGAAGAAATCCAAATTCCAACTTTTTAGGGACAAATTATCCAAATAATTTGGATTGTTTTCGACAAGATATCCAATTTTTATCGACAAATTATCCAAATCCAAATAAAGCGACAAAATATCCAACCAATTTGGAAATTCCGATTTGGATATCTTGTCGGTGGCGCGACAAGATATCCAAATATCGAATTTTTTTTAGACAAGAAATCCAAATGTTTTGGACAAAATATCCAAAAAGTTCGGATATTTTTTGACAAGATATCCAAACTTTTTTAGACAAGAAATTGCTTTTGATACATAATTTTGTGAATTTCTTGTTCTTGTAGGTGGATATTAGTTACAATTAAAGGTGCATTTTTTGTGCGAAATTCAAAGGTTTTGCTGCTGTGAGTGTTTTGTTCCTTACCAACATTTGTGAAAGCCTACATTAACTTACTCTTTTTGAACTTTTAAACAAGTAGAGTAGCATATGTTAATAGGCTTTACCAAATCAGATTATCACGATGTTGCATATTCTCTCTGGATTTTCCGCAGACTATCGTTTGTTTTTACTTTCATGCATGTTACACATTACACAATGAATACTTTTGAACTTTACATACTCATTTCAACGACTGCTATTGAATCAGTGGTGCTTCTAATTTTTCAACGCTTGCGTAACTTCCTGTAATAGTTGCAAATGTGGTCGCAGATTATGATTTATACTGATAGAGATGTCCATGCTAACAAATGGTGATTTATGGATTGTGTCAACCAATTCACATCAATAATACTACAACGATTCATGCGCATATACCGCGTATACTAAATTGCAGCTTTTAGATAAAAGTGTTCTTTGAAAAACATAATCCATCAATATTAGTATTATGTTCAGCGTTATTTCGAATAACGGAACGTTTCGATTTTTCTTTCTTTTTTAGACGTTATTATTCATAGTTAGAGTGCTAATATATTTACAGTTCATCCGCAAGGCAAAGATAACACTTCTTTGCGCGTATGTTATAAATAATTTCGTTTCTCTAAAGTTAAACAATTTCTATTGTTATCATGACACACAACATACCAAATATAAGAGCAGAGATGTAACGGCGGGAACAAAGAACGGCAGTTTTTAACATTGGAAACGTTTATGGTTTCGCAGGTATATCGTAGATGGGTATACAGTTACGAGTTTTTCATTCAAGCAGAAAACACAACAGTGTCGCATCAACTGAAGATTGTACCGTACTCGACCGTGGTCATCGATAGGGAATGCAATACCGGGATTGCGGGATCCCGAAATAACGGGATCCCGCAGCATTTTTGCGAAATTAATCCCGCACATAAATGGAGCGGGATCCCGCGGGATTTGCGGCACTGAGGAATTTGTCGACCAAGGGGACGACTGTTTACTTTGTTAATGAAACTGATAACGGCGAATTATTTTTTAAATAATTGTTAAACCTTTTTCGTTAAAAATGTACTATGATCTTTGAGGCACTTTAGAAGACTTTTTGTGCTTTACAGGTAAGGTTTTTTTGAGTTCTAAGTTAGGCCGAAGGTACTTTTTTGTTAAATATTGTGATAATTAGCGATTTATTTTAATACAGAAGTTAACCGCACAGAATTGCTTATTTGCCAATTTATTTAAAGTTTTGCGAGATCCCGCAAATTCCGGGATCCCGCGGGATTAACATCTAACAATCCCGGAAATACCGGGATTGAGATTTTGCTGCGGGATTGCATTCCCTACTAGAAACCAATTTCGAAAGAAAATTCAAAGGGCTGTAACTTTTGAACTAGTAGCCCAATCTTGGAACTGTTTGAAATTATGGATTCTACAGGCCACATTCTATAAGAAAATGTTTTTTTCCGGGTCGATCTGAGACAATTTTTTTTTCGGGGCTCAAAAAAAGGCAGTGTATAACCTTCCTTTTTTACCAAAAATCGAATGCACCAAAATTTCTCGGGAAAACACTTTTTCTTATTAATTTTGGTGCGTAGAATCCAAAACAATTCGTACTTTTCGATCAGACTTCTCAATCAAAAGTTATAGACTAGAAACCAATTTCGAAAGAAAATTCAAAGGGCTGTAACTTTTGAACTAGTAGCCCAATCTTGGAACTGTTTGAAATTATGGATTCTACAGGCCACATTCTATAAGAAAATTGTTTTTCCGGGTCGATCTGAGACAATTTTT